GGTCCCGCCCACGCGGGCGCTTGTCCCTTCCCTTGCTGGAGGACCCAGCATGTCCCCACGGCCGGGGGCACTGTCCCGACCCCGGGCAGGCAGGTGGCGGCGTGGGCAGCCCATGTGCTGGCCGGGGAGCATGAGCGGCGCTGGGGCAGCGTGGCGGGCTGGCAGCTCCAGTTGTGCGGCAAGGCCAGGCAGCGGCGTTGCTGTGCTTGGGGGCCTTCGTGCCATGAGGGGACTTTATCGTCAAGAACATTTGTCCACGTTAATTAAGCCATGTCTGTCGCCTGGGGAGCAGCGAGATGTGGGCAGGCTCACTGGCCCCTCTGGCATGCCCAAGCCTCCTCTTGCTGCTCCGAGAGCCTGGATTTTAACAGCCTCATTAATGGGGCTTTCTTCCCCTTTGAAGCTAATGGGAGCTTCTGCAGAGGGGCTGGAAGGTGCCAGTCCTGCTGGGGCTCCCGATGTGGGACGTGCAGACACTGGTCTCCAGGCCCAGCTCTGCAGCCCCTCTGAGCTGGGTGGGGGGCTCTGCCCCAGCTCCCAGCCCCCAGAGCCCTTTCCCCCCATGCCATGGGGCTGCTAAGTGTCCCAGCTTTCTCCTTGCCCACCAACATCTCCCACAGGTCGCCTGCGGGGCGGTTTCTGGTTTTGCCGTGAATCCATTTATCCCCTCCCCAGCCTGGAATTTCAGAGGGGAATGCATGAAATACTAAAAAAAAATAAAAGAAACGAGCACATCTGAAGGCTCAGGCAGCGCTGTGAGTGTGCCGTCTGTCCATCCGTCTGCCAACGAGGACCCTCCAGGTGGGGGCATTGCTCATCAGGCCCATGGCTGTGCTTGGGAGCGCAACACCCGGTGTTGGACAGGGGTCCTCCAGTGGGAACATCCCCGCTTGGCCACATCTTCAGGCTCTCACTTCTTCTCCTCCACGCAGGTGGCCAACCTGCTGCGGCTCTTCCAGATCCCACAGATCAGCTATGCCTCCACCAGCGCCAAGCTCAGCGACAAGTCACGCTATGACTACTTCGCCCGCACCGTCCCGCCAGACTTCTACCAAGCCAAAGCCATGGCAGAGATCCTCCGCTTTTTCAACTGGACCTACGTCTCTACCATTGCCTCAGAGGGCGACTACGGGGAGACGGGGATCGAGGCCTTTGAGCAAGAAGCCCGCATGCGCAACATCTGCATTGCCACCTCGGAGAAAGTGGGGCGCTCCATGAACAAGAAGACCTACGATGGGGTGGTCCGGGCTTTGCTGCAGAAGCCCAATGCCAGAGTGGTCGTGCTGTTCACCCGAAGTGAAGATGCCCGGGAGCTGCTGGCGGCTGCCCAGAGAGCCAACATGTCCTTCATGTGGGTGGCCAGTGATGGGTGGGGAGCCCTAGAGAGCGTGGTGGCTGGGAGTGAAGCAGTGGCAGAAGGAGCCATCACCATCGAGCTGGCAGCCTACCCCATTAAGGAGTTTGCTGCCTACTTCCGTAACCTCAACCCCTACAATAACAGCCGAAATCCCTGGTTTCGGGAGTTTTGGGAGCAGAAGTTCAAGTGCAGCTTCCACACACAGGGCTGCAGCCGGTACTCCCTCAAGACAGGGAAGTTTGAGCCAGAGTCCAAGATCACGTTTGTGGTCAATGCGGTCTATGCCATGGCTCACTCCCTCCACAACATGCACCAGGCGCTGTGCCCCAATGCCACCAAGCTCTGCGATGCCATGAAGCCTGTCAATGGCAAGAGGTTCTACAAGGACTTTATGCTCAACGTTCATTTTGATGGTGAGTGCAGAGATGGAGATAGGGTTTGGCTGCCTAACTGGAAAGGGCTTGGTGGAGGGGCAGGGAAGAGGAAAGAGACACAAATTTGACCCAAGACCCTCCAATTGCTCCAGCCTGCCCACACCTGGGGACCCCTGTGCTGTGGGCTGTGGTTGTCCCAGGATGCCAACAGCCCACCATCACCCTTGTTGGGGAAACGCAGGCCGCCTGTCCTCAGTGTGGAGAAGGTGGTGACCAACTCCATCCTGCTGCAGCTGGGTGGGACCAGCCCCACAAAGACCCTCCAAGAACATGGGTCCTTGGAGACCTCACTTGCAAGCGTTGTGATTTATTCACGTTTCAGGGATTAAACTGGAACCACACCCTTGATCAGGGAACCCACCTGCTTTGGGGTGAATTAGAAGCATGTCCTCTGTGACTTGGGCTGAGCCCAGCTAGCCAGGTGCCACTGAGAGCCACGGTGGCTGCAGAAGCCCCCACTTTGCCCCCGCAGAGCTGGCTGGGGCTGCCAGGCTCTTAGGCAC